GACGCCCGACGCCCGACGCACGACGCACGACGCACGACGCACGTCGCAAGACGCACGACCCACGACGCGCGACGCGCGACGCGCGACGCACGACGACGACGCCCGACGACGACGACGACGACACCCGACGACGACCACGACGACGACGACGATGACGACGACGACGAACGACGCACGACGCACGACGCACGACCCACGACGCACGACGCACGACGCACGACGGACGACGCACGACGGACGACGCACGACGGACGACGCACGACGGACGACGCACGACGGACGACGCACGACGGACGACGCACGACGGACGACGACGACGACGACGACGACGACGACGACGACGACGACGACGACGACGACGACGACGACGACGACGACGACGCACGACGACGACGACGACGACGACCTGGTAATGCCAGGTAATGCGCTTTGTAATGCCATAAAACAAAGCACGCTCGTAATATCCTGGTAATGCCAGGTGATGCGCTCATCTTGGAAGTGAAGTAAAAGTCCTGTTTAATATTTTAGCTTTGTAATGCCACAAAACAAAGCGCGATTGAAAACAATGAAAGCATGCAATGAAAGCATGCAGCAACATGGCAAATGATCAACGCCTGAACTCAACGGTTCAAGCGGTCAACAATGCTTCGACATTTTCGGCCACCCAGCACCCTAAATTTTCCGGAAATTTAGGGAGCTGGGCCGTGGCTTCTGAACATGATCAGGCTGCATCCGTTTCCTAAATTTCCTGAAAATTTTGGGTGTGTAAATTTTCGGAAAATTTAGGAAAGCGATGAAGCAAATTTTCCGGAAATTTAGGGACCGAGGCTTCGGGCTACCCGGAACCAGAAATTTTCCAGAAATTTAGGGGAGCGAATCCGGCTTGCGGCCGTCGAAGAGGCCCAGCCATTCAAAGGGCACAGCCCAAGCCCCAAAATTTCCCGGAAATTTTGGGTCCCGGGTAGGCCAAAGCGGCTTGCTCGCCGGGGTCCAGAAATTTCCGGAAAATTTTGGGGCTGGGGCACTCCGAAGCGTGACGCACCGCATAGGGCTGGTTTGACCGTAGCGTTTTATAGAGTAGATTTCGATAAATTCATTAGAATTGTTTATATTCATCGACGAAGGAATATCATATTTGAGAAGAATAGAATCATGATATTCAATCTCTAAAGACGAATGATATGGATAATGATTTCAATTAGAATCTTGTATCGGATAAAATCAACCTCAACCCAAAAAACATCGATTGCAGTGGCTCTGAAACACTGGGCTGCGCTTTTTCACTCTCAAAACAGCATGTTTGGCCAGCACTTGGCTAGAGGCCGGCCGTGAGAACTCAATGGAACCGCCAATCTGTAGCTAACCGTTGAACTGAATAACGGATAGGAGAAGCGGCACTCCTGCCAGAAAACTTTGCATCTGCCTCACAGCTCGTCCTCACAGTGGGTCTTGATGGTCACATCTGAGGTAGCATAGGTCACGCAGGTCAAGCCTGCGGAAGGCGTTTTGCTTTTGGCGGTGGCAAGTTTAGCGTTCGAACCCTTGCTTATCTTGGAGAGTTTTGTGTTGGCCGGGCGCTATCAACAACAAGAGGGAACACAAAGGTTAAGTTCTCGTATTTGAAGCTAACAGTTCCCGTACTGGCTAAGCAAAGGAGCAGAAGCCGTCGCTCATCTGGTCATCGTCCAGGAAGGCCTGGTCACTCTGGTCGATTTCGCCCGACAGGACCTTGCCAGCGCAGCTGGAGCAAGAGCCAGCGCGGCAGGAGTAAGGCAGCTCGATTCCTTCCTCCTCAGCCTGATCCAGGATGTACACGTCTTCCGGACACTCGATGGTCGAGGTGCCATCCGGCGTCTCCAGAGTCACCTCGCGGCATCATTAGGAATCACCATGAAATTTCCTGTCGGAGAAGGCTGAACTGCGAGAGAAAAAGAGAAGAGCCTGTGCCGAGATACACAAACGGTTCCCGCAGAAACACCGAATGACACAAGAGCAGTTCGTGCGTTCAAAAAAAAATGGATGCCATGGTCTGAACGTGGTCACCTTGAAGTGCGCCGGGACTCCTGGGCGTGCTGGCACGGTGTTCACGATGGCCGGCACTTGCCCAGCGGCGAGAGCACCGCCCGACAGCGCCTGGCAGCCCATGTGGACACTCTGCTGCGGTGCCACGAACGTCGGCGAGCTCGCTGCCCAGAAGCTGCGCAGCACAGCGGCGCAGCAGGCAGCGGCGACGAGCACGGTCAAAGTACGACTCTGGGAAGCCATGGCGTCCAAAGTGGCCACTAGTTCCAGGCGCGGATGCTCAGACACACATGCGGCTGCAAGGACCATGCAAGCTCGAAGCCAAGCGCATCAACAAAAAACATCATCGATTGCAGTGGCTCTCAAACACTGGGCTGCTCGTTTTCACTGTCAAGACAGCATGTGTTGCCAGCACTTGGCCAGAGGCCGGCCGTGAGAACTCGATGGAACCGCCGATCTGTAGCTACCCGTTTAACTGAATAACGGACAGGAGAAGCGACACTCCTGCTGGAACAAATCGTGGCCTGTCTTGAGCAGACCTGAGCTACTTCCAAAATGTCCAAAATCGGTGTTACTACTCCCAAGGTAAGCCCTCCTGGCATTGAAACGTTGCCAAAGACATCTCAGCCTTCCACAGAGATACTGGTCTTCTGAGTTGCGCTTTGCAGTTTCCCTTTCTTTGAGCCCCTTACAAATGCGCGACTCTGCCGGCTTCTTTGAATGTTCTAAAATGTATGTCGGAGTACAATGCGTGCTCGACCGAGTGGTTTGGGTTGGTTCCTGTTTTTTCCCTACCTTGCGAAGGAAAAATATTCAGGCAGCAGCTTCGACAAGTCGTTCCATATTATAATTATGTTAATATTCTGCAATTTGTATACAATATAAAGTGTAATGTGTATGCATCTTTTGCAGACTCTACAGAATGCTTCGCCCAACAGCACTGTGCCCGCTTTTCCGTGAGCTCAAACGACGAACTGCGGAATCGGCGACCTGCTCAGGTCGCCTCTCCAAACGTCCGCAGCATAGCCCACGTCTTCCCAAAAGTTGCAATGGGCGTCCTGGGTTTCGACTGGCTGGTTTTTCCTAGGGAATGGGGGAATGAGGTACCCTAGATAATCCTTTCAAGGGTATATATAGGGCCCTATATAATCCTTTCAAGGTTATACAAAGGCCCCATACCCTACATAATCCTTAAAGGGTATATACAGGGCCCTAATTCCCGACTAAGAACCAGGGTTTCAAAGGGCATAGCATAGGTTCTCCCACCTCCTGCCTCCACTTAAAACTCTCTTGGGTGTAGGGTTTCGGGCCTCTAGGCTACTCTTCGGGTTTAGGGTTTAGGGTTGAGGCCCGCAAAATTCAACCAGGAGTCGCAGGCTTGGTGTCAAAATCTTTAAGGGTCAGAGTCAGCGCTGGGTGGAGCTGGGAGATTCATTACGCAAGCCAGGAACAGCACGGGGCCTGCAACTGGTGAGTTCTCTAAAACGAGGGTCGTTTTGGGGGCCCTCATTACAGAGACACTGCATTCTGTTGGGGGGCCCAGCAAAGGATGCTTTTTTGAGTAAAACTGCACACCTGCTGCTGCCAAGCATCGTGGTATCTCTGCAGCGTGGAATTGCCAGAGATGCTCCATCGCCTGCTTACATCCTGGCACACAGCAGAAGGCGTTCTCAAGGGACTTAAGGAGGGACCCTTGTAAGGGACTTCAGGGGCAATGTAGGGACTACTTCGGGACTACATAATAAGGTGTTTGTATATACTGTATACATATATCTAGGGGATGTAGGGGAACAAAATTAAGGGTCCCCTTTGGGGGCCCTTCTTCAGGAGCTTTGGCATGGTTTGGAATCGAAGGGTTCTGCAGGGATGGCTGCCGTCTCACGAGCAATCGTTACAAATTGCAGTCCCTCGCAAATTAGGGTTTAGGGTTTAGGGTTAAATATTAAAAAGAGCTCCAGGATCGAACCGCAAAGAGCTCAGCCCGCTGTGAAGGAAGCGCCAGTGGTCTCCCAATCCAGAAGCCAACCGCTTTGGCTGTAACAGACCCTGAAAACCCTAAACCCTAAACCCTAAACCCTAAACCCTAAACCCTAAACCCTAAACCCTAAACCCTAAACCCTAAACCCGCCATGTTCAAAAGCTTGGGAGTCCCCGTAGGGCCCTAAGGGGTGAAGCCTTCTGCATCATCTTGCTCTAAACTCAGCTGAACTCCAAGACGCTAGACCCTAAACCCTAAACCCGAAACCCTAAACCAACCCTATAGACCCTAAACAAGAAACCCTAAACCCTTAAACCTCTTTACAGCAGGAACCTCTTTACAGCAGGCCTCGGGAAGCGGCAACCCTTAAACCCTAAACCAACCCTACAGACCCTCAACAATGAACCCTAAACCCTGAACCCTTGTCGTGCGGCCATGCGGGGGGTCTCGGGCTGAGAGCCTCGGAGCCGTTGTACTGCACGAAGTCCGACTGTCTCCCCGAAGCGAAGCGGATGATCGCTCGCGCGTAGTGTCCTGATCTCTTCACGATGCGGTGGGCAACGGCTGAGGAGACTCAGAAGTCTTGCTGGTGCTTAGTAGGGCCCTCTATCCCCATATATATATATATATATATATATATATATCTCCCTCTCTTTCTCTCTACGCTTTAAAGAATTATGTAGGGAACCTGCTTCCCCCCATTCCCTACTAAAGAACCAGGGGCAAATAGCCAGAAGTATGGCTACACGTAGTTAAGGTTGTCAGGAACAGTTACGCTTCTCGAGGGATACGCCCGAGAGTAATGAGAATGGCTTCTGTTGTGATGCTGGAACGAAGACATGAGACGAGACCTCGACTTTTCGTTGCAAAATCCTGGTTTGTCTAATTCTGAGTCTGGGCGATGCTTAAGGTGACCGACTTGAGCTAATCAACAGTTGTACTGTCCACTCCCAAACGCATCCTAAACCCTAAACCCTAAACCCTAAACCCTAAACCCTAAACCCTATCAATGCCATCCGGCCACAGGGTGCATTGAAGAAAAAGTCCAGCCAGGACGCGGGCAGAAGTTCAGACTTCAAGATCCGATATTGTTCGAACCCCGACCCTAGCCCCTCTGAAATATATGATGTAAGGGCTTTGGGGTTTAGGGTTTAGGGTTTAGGGTTTTGATGTTACCAACATCTCATCGAATGATTTGACGGCTTCTTCTCCCCAAGAGGCTTGCAAGCTTCGACTCGGCATCGCTGGCGTAGAAGAGCTGGGTGCCTTGACTCTCGAAGTGCTGAACTGCCCGAATTCAATGAACATCAGAACATGAAACGACTGAAAAGGAATACCTGAGGCAGGACAAACTAACAGCCACTGCCAAGACAGCGGCCACTGCACCAGAAACAGCAAGACGAGGGCCACAGCAACAGCAAGAAGACTCGCAGCAACGATAATGGCGACGGCCACAAAGAATACGACTCCCGGTCCTCCCTACGGGACAGTACTAAGACCGGAGCTACGAAGAACGACAAGCAACAACACTGCCATGGATGCAGTGGCGTCGCGCTGGGTCATCCGTGGCGAAGTTGGGATCTGGTAAAGTATGTCGGCCTTTGATGTGGTGTCAAGCAACGTCTGGCATCCTACGAGTAGCCTTAACCCTAAACCCTATAGACCCCTAAACCCTAAACACCCTAAAGGGAAGGCGGCAGAACTGGGCCTGTACGTTTTGAGGTTTCATGATCCGTCAACCCGAACTCCTCATATTCGCAACCCGGAGTCAAGGCTTGTTTCCCCGGAGGTCGCATCCTGGTCATTCCTCTAGATCCTAAACCATAAACCCTAAACCCTCAACCCTAAGATACCTCCTTGGTAATTTCGGGCCCGGGAGGGGCTGCGGGCTGCGCGACCAAGTAGCCGCGTGACACGAGGCTCCGGCCGGTGGGCCCTCGACACAGAGCCTCGAGCTCACAGCGCACGGCGCAAGGTTCTGTCCGAATAATGTGGCTGCTACTGCTAGCTGCAAATTTGAGCCTTTTTGCTTCGGGCTCCTGTTGCAGCTTGCCTGTGACAGAGGTTGTTCAGGTGATGTCATGCGAGCCGGATGACTTCGTCAAAAACCCTAAACCCCAAACCTGAACCCGTTTGACTTCGCACGAAAGCCGCAATCCCGACCCCGGACGTTCGGGCTCTGGGTGCCTTCCAGGATTGCGCTTCCACTTGCAAACCGCCCCGAAGCAAGGACCGCGTCTATGGGTCCAAAAATAATTTAAAATATCTGTGAAAGGTACATATTGAAAGTTCTAATGCATGATGGGACCCCCCCCAACCCGAGTCCCTGAGTGGCGTCTACAAACAGGGACTGCAACTGTTGCTTTGGAAAACCCTAAACCCTAAACCCTAAACCCTAAACCGGCAGAGTGCCAGCCAAGTTGTAAAACTAGGTTGGCCCCTTGAACACCTCTGAGCAAAATCCTACTAGTAAATATAATCCTCTTGAACCCAATACAGTAAACTCCAAAAAGTTGGAACATCCTTCTCCACATGCCCCAAAGGGTATACCAAACAGAATCCCAGCTCTAATCATCCTTAAACCATGTTCCAACTTTCTGGAGTTTCCCCTAAGGGAAAATACAACATGTCCCAGGGGTGGAAAGGCCCTTCTATACAAGACTCACAAAAGGAACACTGGAACGCCGGAGGGCGAGTTCAAGTGCATCTGGCTGCTGTGCGGCTGCAGCATGAAAGTAGACCTGGGCGCCCGCGGGGATTCTACCGAATGGCCGCAACTTTACAGCCGGTTTCGTGCTTTGGGACCGGATGCCTTTCCTGAAGGAGCCAAGCTTCATCCGCCACAAACTCGAACCCTCGCATGGTTCTCGACTAGCTGGCCCCACATCGAAGCCGTCGACATCAAAGCTTAACCCAGCATGAACCTGAAGCTGTGGTTCAGCCTTGCCCCTGTCTCAAGCTTGTCAGATCGCATCGAGGCCACAACCTAAACCCCAAAACCCACTCTAAACCGGAAGCTCGAAACCCTAAGCCCGAAGCCCTTGACTTAAGGCCACCTTCGAAGGCATCCCCGTCACGCCGACTCCTCGACCACCCCTCTGAGAAACCTTCAGCCTTTCTGGTTCTGAGTGGGGAATCGGGGGAATCGGGGAATGAGGTACCCCATATCCCCCCTGCAAAAAGCCTTTATAAGGGACTGTATAGGGCAACCTATATCCCCCTATACATAGAGCCGTGAGGGGATTGTATAGGGTACCAAATTCCCCTAAACCCTGCTAAGAACCAGGGGGCTCATAGAGTTTCCGTGCCCTTTTTGGGGGCCCCTAGTGCTTTAGGGGAATTCTTTGGGTTCCCAACTTTTGGGAAAATGTCCATATGGTGACTTCGCAATCCCGCAAATAGAGTAAGAGGTAGGTAGATACAGCCGGCAATAGTTCCAATATCCTGCTTCTTCGCAGCTCTAGCGATTTTTTGTCACCTGAATCCAGTCGAGCAGCAGATACGTGTCGCTCCGCGCCGCGAGCGCCCGCGCGGCGTAGCGGACGTAGCATGTCATCAGCGCATCCTTCGGTGCTTACCCTAAGGGTCCATGCTCCTTTTTAGTAGGGTTTAGGGTTTAGGGTTTAGGATTTAGGGTTTAGGGTTTAGGGTTTAGGGTTTAGGGTTTGTGGTTTAGGCTTATGTACTTGGGCTCTAAAGTCCCCAGATAGGAGGTACTTTAAGGGCCCAAGAATTCCCAATCTCGGTACATGGACCCTCGGGTTTGTGGCGCTGCGTCACCGGTCAGGGACATAGCAAGCAGCTTAGAAGCATAGATGGTTTCAAAGAGTGTAACCACCACTGTTGAGGTGTTTGTTGAGATTAGGCCCTCAGTTGACATGAAACTGTCTAGGTCAGTCGTCTACCCTAAACCCTAAACCCTAAACCTGCTGCCAGTTCCAGGAGGCTTGGGGTTTCGCGTCTCAGTATTAGCTGCGGGCTCAAGATGGAAGAGGTCGCGGGCTTCAACGTCTTGGAAAGGGAACAAGCTCCACAGCCCAATTCGCCCGGTTCGCAACCCCAGATTCCAAAGCCTTCTATTCCAAAACCCGAAAAATCCCAGTCGAAACCCTCAAAGCGCACAAAACCTATAAACCCTAAACCCTAAACCCTAAACCCTAAACCCTAAACCCTAAACCCTAAACCCTAAACCCTAAACCCTAAACCCAAACCCTAAACCCTAAACCCTAAACCCTACGTAAACCCTAAACCCTAAACCTACAAAAGCCCCCGCGATCTGCTCCAGGCACTGTGGTTACCACCGCAGCTCGGCGAGCCGGGGGCAGGGCCGAGCTGTCTGGTGAAGCAGCATAGTGCGCTGCCACCTCGGTGGTTTAGGGCAATAGGTTGTTCAGGAGATGCAGGTGACTAGCAAAGTGGTGTCAGGGTCCGCTCCATGGGGCGAGGATCTAAGGCCTTACTTCCTGCTTCTATGGCACCCTCTGCCTAGACATGCATATCTTTTGCTTGGTGTAAGTCACCGATATAGGAATCGCTTGTAAGTGCCTCGGAAGTACCAGTAGGTTGTACGGCAAGGGGATACGATGTAAGCACCATGTAAGCGCCATGTAGGTACCATGCAAGCACCATGTAAGCGCAATATAAGCACCATGTGATAAGAACGCTATGTGAGCACCGTGTATGTACTATGTATGTAGGCACCATGAAAGCACGATGTAAGCACCATGTAAGCACCAAGCACTTGTAAACACCATGTAAGTACTATGCAAAGTGGCTCGCGCCTGCCCCTATGTTGGAAACACCTGGTTCCGAACACCCCGACTGATGAAGACCTCCCAACTACTGCACACGCGCGCAGACAGCTTGTCTCACATGTGAGCCTTGAGTGACAGAGATCAAAAAATCTTTGCTTACATTGACATTGTAGCGATACCAGACTGCGAGTCACCAGCAGCTGGCTTGGATATAGAGTTTGCAATATAAACCTGCTAGGGTTTAGTTTAAGGCTCGAGGGTTGATAGGGTTTTTTGCCACCCGCCGAGCTGATGTACTACAGGGACGATCTCAGAGGACGATGCTGACCGCTTCACCCTTCATAGGGTTTAGGGCTTTAGGGTTTACGGTGGTTTTGGGATTTTGGGCTCGGGGGTTTACGTTTGGCTTTGGGATTTTGTTAGGGGTTCATGTTTATGGACGTGGCATTTAGGTTTCATGACTCAACATGTTCTCGGCGCAAGTTGAGGCTCTAGGACATTGGGATACTGGGTTGAGGCAGAGGGTTGGGGTCTAAGCTGCAAACCCTAAACCCTAAACCGCTGGAACGCCTGAATTGGGTCTGATGATCATCAGAGCCACGGGATTTGGGTTTAGGGTTTAGGGCTTAATTTTGTACAAAAAGTTGTTGTTCAGGAGGACTTGAATTGCAGACTGTTTTGTCGGTTCTAAGAGCCTGAAGGCGCGGCACTCTCTGCCCTTTGTCATCAACCCTAAACCCTAAACCCTATGTAAACCCTAAACCCTTCGTTGGGCTCAGGGGTTGTCATCTTTGGGATTTCAAGGGCTCTCATCTCGCTCCGATGGTACTTTGCAGTGCCTGACCAAAAGGCTTTGCAGCATGTTTAGGCTTTTCAGAACCGGAATTCCCAGAAACCCTAAACCCGAAACAGCCTAAGTCCAGCACCTTTGGCCCTAAGCCCTATAAGCCCTAAGCCCTAAACCCTAAACCCCCAACCCCCTTAACCTGCAGGGAACTTCAGGGGGATTGACGAATGGCCTTGTCCGCGCGCTCGCGGAACACGATCCGCAGCGTCTCGTGGTAGGATGGCCAGTTGTCGCCAAGCCTCACAGGATGGCACGGGACGTCTGAGTTTAGGGTTTAGGGTTTAGGGTTTAGGGTTTAGGGTTTAGGGTTTAGGGTTTAGGGTTTAGGGTTTAGGGTTTAGGGTTTAGGGTTTAGGGTTTAGGGTCTCACGTGAAATTGAATCCAAAGACTACAGGGCCTCCTCGGTGGCACGTTAAGCAAGCACCCCTTGTTGAACCTTGAAAAACCCTAAACCCTAAACCCCTGAAACGGAAACCCTAAACTAACTTCCCGTCACGCAAGGCTAAGTCTTGCTGCGGCATACTGTGGATCGAACAGCTCGGCCGTTTTTTATCTGTTTATTTTGTGTTTTTTCTTTAGGGTTGAGGGTACCTTGCAACATACACACACATCCCTGAAACCTTTAGAACCAACTTCAAGATGCCCAAGACTTCAAAGGATTCTAGTCGCTAGCACGCTCTGACACTACTTTAAGCTCGCGACCATCTAACGAAATCCCGCAACTCTGCAGGCGCGAAGCTCTGCATGCGCGAAGTTCAGAGAGAGTCCCCTAAACCCTAAACCCTAAACCCTAAACCCTAAACCCTAAACCCTAAACCCTAAACCCTAACCCTAAACCCTAAACCCTAAACCCTAAACCCTAAACCCTAAACCCTAAACCCTAAACCCTAAACCCTAAACCCTAAACCCTAAACCCTAAACCCCACCGAGTTACCTCATGAGCTCCGTGGGAACGAAGGCCAAGGTCTCGTTGGTCACCGAGCTCAGGATGGTGGGCACCTTCGGGCGTTCGGGCGTCAACCCTCAACCCTAAACCCTAAACCCTAAACCCTAAACCCTCAACCCTAAACCCTAAACCCTAAACCCTAAACCCTAAACCCTAAACCCTAAACCCGAAACCCGAAACCCGAAACCCGAAACCCTAAACCCTGAACCCTGAACCCTAAACACTATAAACCCTACTTCGGGATTCCGAAGAGGCTTGGCTTGCGAGCTTGCTTCATTCTGCCACCCTCCTAGCTGACCCCGTGTCAGGCTTTAGGGTTTAGGGTTTAGGGTTTAGGGTTTAGGGTTTAGGGTTTAGGGTTTAGGGTTTAGGGGCTGAAAGTGTAGAAGGTTGGGAGCTCACGGCCTGTGGAGCTTGGGGTCATCTGGAACTTTACTGCTGTCCTGACCCCTTTTTTGCCACTGGACTGAAGGCAAGCCAGACCCAAAACCCTAAACTGTACTGAAGACCCCGGGGGCAAAGGAGAATGCTCCAAGTCTGCTCTTGTCTCCGCAAGACGGCTTCCCTGCTGCCAAACTCCCAAACCCTCATGGGTTCAGGGTTTAGGGGTTAGGGTTGAGGGTGTAGGGTGAACCTGACATCCCCAAGCCCAAAACGCCCAATAAAAAAGGCTTGGCCTAGCTGCTGAGTACCCTGCGCCAAAAAGGCTAACCTCGCAATTCTGGTTGGGTGATGTCGACCCCACAAAGGTTCAAGGTTAACTACTCAGCTACTAAGAAACTCTAAACCCTAAACCCTAAACCCTAAACCCTAAACCTGAACCCTTTTGCACTTCGCCCTTAAAACAGACGAATTGGGGCCTTGTTGTACTTCCCCTGCTGCATTGCATCCAGCGGATTGAGGGGCAAGGTCTCCGAGTCGAGGATGGGCATCCTCATGGTGCCCCGGCGCAGATTTTCTGCGCATTTCTTCAGGGGTTTTCGCGTAGGGTTTAGGGTTTAGGGTTTAGGGTTTAGGGTTTAGGGTTTAGGGTTTAGGGTTTAGGGTTTAGGGTTTAGGGTTTAGGGTTTAGGGTTTAGGGTTTAGGGTTTAGGGTTTAGAGGGATCTTGCTTAGGGTTTGGGGCTCTGGCTGCCAAGACCAGAGTCCCTCTCCACAATTTATGTTTGGGGGTTTAGGGCGTGCAGCTTTTTTCGGCGTGGCACTCAGTTGGGTTTTCTTGCCCAATGGAGGGGATAGCAAGCAAGCACCAAGGCAAAATCTATGTCCCTAGTTGCAAATAAAGGTTACAGGTTACCTACTCAGCTACTAAGTATCCTTCCGTCCGGAGCAAATGGGGGCTACTTCAGAACTCCTCTCCGACCCGGCATCAGCAGCAGTACTTTCGGCAGCAGGGTGACTGCACGTTGCTATGGATTCGTAGAGTCGTGAGCCAGCTAGTGCCAAACTGACATGCCAAACCCTAAACCCCCTAAACCCTAAACCCTAAACCCCAAAGCCTAAACCCTAAACCCCAAACCCCAAACCCCAAACCCCAAACCCCAAACCCTAAACCCTAAACCCTAAACCCTAATCTAAAACAGCAGCCAAGTCTCCAAGCTAGCATGTTGGCACTCTCCGTCCAAGGGGCGGTGAGGTGCCGCAGGTATTCAGGCCTTTGGCCACTTGGAGGTTGCCCTAAACCCTAAACCCTAGACCCTAAACCCCAAACCCCAAACTTACAGGTTGTCAAAAGTAGGGTTCTCTAAGTACCCAGAGTAGGGTTATAGGTATAGTTGCCATACCTATAACCCTCCTGATACCCTCAGGTTCTGGGACTTCATGGTCTTTGAACCCTAAAATTCTAAGGGCTTAGGGGTTAGGGACAGGGTTTCGGGTTTAGGGCTCTCAAATTGGGGTTTCTGGGCCTAAGGGCCTTCTTATGTGAGGATTTTGGGCTATGTTGAGCCTGAGGGAAAGCTTTCTGCTCTCACATTTCACGCTTTAAAACCCTAAACCCGAAACCCGAAACCCTAAACCCTTAGGTTCATGTCTGACTTAGGAAACGAGTTTCAGGCTATCGTGCTTGGATTCTCTGCCTTGACTTCGCTGGGTGCAACGGGGTTCGGATGGAGGATTTAGGACTAAGCAGGTAGTTGTTTGATTGGACTCCCCTTGAAAAGGGGGGGGCTAAACCCTAAACCCTAAACTCTACGTAAACCCTAAACCCTAGACCCTAGACCCTAAACCCTAAACCCTAAGCCCAAATCCTAGCATTCTGGACAAGGTTTCAGGGGCAGGACCGCATCGAAGCACAGGAAATGCCACAACAGCACACTGGAATTTTGTGCGTTTATTGGGGCACTAGAGTCCTTTAATGTGCTCCTTTAGCACATACACTTAACACGCTAAAAGACCATGTAATTTGGTCAAATTGTAAGGAGCGAAGAGACGCACGAACTTAATAGGGCTTTTCTTCGGGGCGTTCTTTGTATTATCTCTTTATGCGCCCCTTAAACACTATTATCTTCTTCAACTGATCTCAACAGACACACAAGTGAATGACATGAACGCGAGATCTGTGAACTAGCGAAAGAAAGAAGATACTAGGGGGAAAAACCCCATGAAGTTCTCCAATTTCACGCGCTAGCTTGCAAATTTGGTTATTTGATGTATGGGCTTTTAGTACCTTACCTTCGGTCACGTCCTCGCACCCCAAAACATGATCAATATGAAATGGCAAGCGAACGTGCGTGCGATTCTAATCTGATTATTAATAGGTTTTTTGTGGACAGGTAAGGTGTCATGAGACTGATGGTGCACGAAAGGAAACATAAAGGTTAACTGCTCTCTCCCTATCACACCTTGAGACCCTGTTAACGCCAGGTCTGGATAACACTCGTCTTTTCATGAGTCTTACCGCTGGAGCTAGAACTAGATGCATGAGTCTTAGTAGGGCGTGTGTTCACATTGCTCACCCAGTTCTTGCATCAGTTTCCATCTTTTCAAGGGTTTTCCGGGTGTAAAACAAAGGACGCATGACCTTGCCCTCTTGTCCGCCGTTCAACCTGCTCATAGAAAGGGTCTTTACAGGGAGTGAACACACCATTAATAGGTAATGAACGAGTGAAACAAGTGAAGCACGCAGGATTTATAAGGTGAGAACGAAGACGAAGTGAATTCACTGATGCAGCACTGATGCATCGGTTCCATACCCTAGGCCTTACGGGTACATTCAAGCTCCTGCCCCTAACCCGCTCAATCAAGCGAATGCTAGGCCCTAAGCCATATAAACCCTAAACCCTAAACTTCTGTTACATGATGTTTTACCCTAAATCCTAGTCCGAAACATTCCCACCGCTGAAGCAACAGCAAGCGGCGCGATGTCAGCGTCGCGAAGGGCGAAAGCCGGTCGCCGGAGAAGACATGAGGTGACCTCAGCTCTGTCCTACCATAAAACCGGCGGAGGTTTTTTTTTTTAAAGAAGGTTTGGCCGAAACAACTTTCTATTTTCTTAAATAGTTTGGCCAAGCCTTTGGCGGGTCAAGCTCGCGGGGGCTTCGAAATTGTAGGGTCCTGTTTTGCGTCAAGCCATTCGGGGATGACAATTTGTAGGGTCCTTCTTTGCATTGGCATTCCGATTTGTAAGGTTCTTCTTGGCTTTAAGCTATTGGGGAACTGCAATTTGTAGGGTCCTTCTTTGCAAAAAGCTAAGGGAGTTGCACTTCACAGAGTCTTGCTGCTTCAAGCTATATTGGGGAGTTGCAATTCCTGTGTTGGGTCAAGCTATTGAGGACTTCGAAATTGTAGGGTCCTGTTTTGCTTCAAGCTAATGGGGGATTTCAATGTGTAGTCAAGTATATTCCCCTGTTGTGCGTGAAACATTGGGGAAATTTGCAAGGTCCTTCTTTCAAGTATATGCACCTGTTTGGCGTCAAACTAGTAGGGAACTGCTACGGCCGAGGTCTAAACCCTGGAGTCGTTGCTTTTGAGCTCTGCAGCCACGCATAGGATTTGGTCCATTTTCTTTTTTCTTCTAGGAAGCCTCCATTCCCTCCCAGGACCCAAACCATAAACAATGGACCCAGCATAGGCGCGATACAGGAATTTGTTTAGGCCAGTGTGGTTATCTTACACACCCGGTACAAAACAGACGTAGTTAACGAACCAGTTGTGCCCCCCAGCTATCAGCCCATCGGCAAGCGCAGTACTTTCTGAAGCTTCTTCAGGAACCCGAAATCCAAGCAACCCGCTCAACCCACCTGGCATCGGCCAAAGCAAGCAGCAGAAAAGGGGGTTTAGGGTTTAGGGTTCTTCGCGGCTGACTGACTTTTCTCATCGTCTTGCTCCCCGTACCATGCCACGGCCTCTGTCCAAGCCTTCTTCACCGCCGCCTCCGAGCCGTCTTTGGGCCTAAATCTCATGGTGCGCCGAACTCCGTGGAACCTCCCATCAGCATACCAACATTGCTCACCGACCCTCCAAATGATGCCTTTCTGTGATCCCAAAGGTGCGAAGCGAGGAAGCTCCGAGAGCTTCTGCACAGGCACGACAGACCTCTCAGCTGGAAGCCCCATTGTCTGGGCCATTTCCCGGGCCTTGCCTTCGGATTCATCTTGGTTCTTGAAAGAGCCGCCATTTAAAAACTTCCCTGTCGCTGGATCAAGGAGCCGGACCCTCCAGGAATTGTTCCTCTCGTCAAAGGAGACTCCCCTCACCAGGCTCTGGGACGCCTTGCCCGTACTTGGCTTTGATGGCTGCATCTTTCCCTGGCGCACCAGCTCCTCGCGATATGCCTTGGCTTTTTGCAAGGTGGCCTCAACGGCCTCCTCCTCCCCAAGGCCTTGCTTCAGGAACTCCGCGATGGAAAAGTTAATTTGCCGCTGCTTGCCAGCTTCCTGGCGGGAGACTGTCCAGGCTGATTTTGCGTTGCTCCAGTGGATTCCTTGGATGCCGCTCTGGCGCTCCAGCCGTCCCTTGAGAGCGCCTGCGTTCTTGGAACGATGCGCGGCCGAGTTGGTACGCTGCGCTTCAGGCATGGATGGCCCAGCCTCTGCCCTCTGCAGCAGCTCATCGACTGTCTGCTTGATGCTCACCCAAACCTCTCCAGCGGCCGCACCTTGAATCTCTCCGACATTGTCTTCAAACTTGCTGATCTTGCCTTGGACATGCTCCAAGACATGCTCAATGGCCTGGCAATCGAAGCGCCTCAATCGCCATGCTCGCAACGCTTCAAGCAACAACGACCGCAGTCGTCGCTGCAGGCCGACGAGCTGACTATTTTTCTGGCAGTCAGGCACCTCTGCGCATTCAGAATCAACTCCTTCTGCTTCAGCCTCTTGTTGCAGCCGCTGTCTGCGAGGGGGCGAGAGCGCTGCAACAACCACGTTAATGGCTTCAGCAAGCTCCGCTTGATCCAGGCTCCTTCGTGGACGCTTTGCCATGGCCTCCACTTGCTCAAGTCGCTCCAGCCGCTGGGCTTCATCCAAGAATCCCCACTCGTTTATCTTGCTGAACAGCTGCAGATGTTGGTCGTGCGCAGGCGGCGCAGCGTCAGCCTCTACTTGTATGATGGCATTGCCATCACCGGCATCTCTGGCGTCAGTGGCATCAAAAGCGTGGTCGTGTTGCGCATCAGCCAGGTCATTGTCCGACATGTCCGACATGTCGGACACCACAACTGTGTCTCGCGCACCTTCCTTGCTCACCCTTGCGGTGCACGTTTTCTCCACTGGCCCACGGCAGCAGCGGAACTTCTGAAGGCTCCTTCGGAGCTCGTGTGCTGCCCGCGTCCAACCCTCATCGACCCGAGCTGATGGTTGGGGGACTGACCGAAGCGCTTCCTGCACGTCTGGCAGGACCTCCCTCAAGCGAGCAGGTAGGGGGCCACCCCCCAGTTGCCCCATGAATTTTCTGAGGAGCTTGAGCACATCGGTCTCTGGAGTTCGGCCCTTTGGGCCATACGCGATCCAGGCCGCCACATGGGCAGCGTGCTTGCGCAGGTCCGCCTTGCCGAAATCGTCGGCTTTGGCGGAATACTTGCTGATCACCGTCGACTTGTGGGCGAGGCGATGGTACTTGCCAGCATGCCGGCGCAAGCGCTGCCTCTGGGACATGGCAGAAGCTACAGGCGGAGTTATTATCCGAAGACTCTGCTTGCAGAGCTGTTCTTAGAGGAATTTCAAGGAGAAAATCCACAAATCTATAACCCAAACTGCCTTATACTCAGGAGGACTAGGCGTAGAATGCATGGTATGGCCCTAAACCCTAAACCCTAAACCCTAAACTCCCACGTTTAAGGCACCCACTGCGCACACGACAGCCTAGCTCGAAGCATGCTTCGGACGATAACTACCAGGTTAGCCCCTCTTCTGAGTTGAGGGGGCCCTGAAATGAGAGGTTTAGGGCTTAGGGTTTAGGGTTTAGGGTTTGGGGTTTAGGGTTTGGGGTTTAGGATTAGGGTTTAGGGTGAGGCAGTTAAGTCTGCATATACAGTAGGGGTAACTACTGATGATGCGTTGAGGTATCTTGCCGGCTAGCGGACACAACCTGTGCCTTGAGCCAAGATCGCAGAGTGCTTCAGGGTTAAGGGTTTTGAGTTACCCTAAACCCTAAACTATAAACCCTGAACCCTCGAGTCTATTGATTGAGGAATACACGCCCGTAGGGTTAGGGTAGAGGGATCCCCACTTAGGAGTTGTGATCGATTCCTTCCTTAACTTACATTTTTGTGTTTCTCAAGGGGCCTCTTTAACCTTGTTCAATGGACCGCTCTTTTTGCAGGGTATCAAAGAGCTCCCAAACTCGAACCATGTACTGCGCGCGCTACCTTCGTCTGAGGGCTCGGCGTTGGCCCCCAAGCAAAGCACGGCGCTGGCCACCGATCGAACCTCAATGACGAGAGGACATGCGCACTCTCTGACCATCGGATGCCGTGGAAAAGCTCTCACTTCTGATTTACGGCTTCAGCACTCCCAATACATCCGCTCAGCGAAGCACAACTGACAGCCGAGTAAGGGGTCATATGAGCCACCCTCCCGGTAAGCATCCGGCGAACTCATCGTTCTCGGGTCTGCCTTGCTAGCAGAAGCGAAAGGAGCTTGGGCACAGGAGATGTACTGGGAGGTGCATGGGTAGTTACAAGTAGCGTTACAAGTATGGTAGCTGTAACCCTACTTCTACCCATGAACCTCCAAGTAAGATTTCCAGAGTCTACCGTTTTACTTAGGGCTCTGTGGCCTTTGGCCCCAAACTTGTGTTGGAATCTTGTATTGTACAGCGCCTAAGCTCAGAAATCCGTTGCAATCCCAAATCTGAAACACTGAGCGCCCGAAAGCCAACAATCTCAAGCCCCAGAAGTCCCGACTCGTTCATCTCAGAAACTCGATTAACTCGCAGCCTAACCCATGATAGCATGCTCAACCGTTGCAAAATCCACACAATGTCCCAGGGCCTAAGACCGAGCCCAACACTCCCAAGCCTCCAGCAATTCTAGGGTCCTTAAGGGGGCGTACATGGGGGTGCCTGGGGAACCTTGGGGAAGCTTCGGCTCTATAGGGTTTGGAATTCAGCGTTTAGGGTTTTTCAGGGTTGTGGGTTTTTGGGCTCAGGGTGTAGGTGTTGGGTTCGAGGGTTTATCCGAGTTGCTGCGGTAGTACAGCCCCACCGGCGAGTTCGCCATGGCCTGGAGCGAAAGGGTACGGAAAAGGACAGTAAAAGGAGAGTTCATGGTACTTATTAAGGAATTAATTGTAACTGTACTTGTAACCCACCTATTATAAGCCGCTTAAGTGCCCTAATACGGTTATAAGTACAGTTGTAGGTACAGTGAGTAAGCGCCCTTAATCTCCAGAGTTCAACGCCTCTTCTGGCTGATTTGGAGTTCAACGAGTTCGTGGCCAATTAGGGATCTTCAAAACCCCATAATTCAGGAAATGTTCTCTTAAACCGTATAGGGACCCACAGTGATGTAAGCTACATCTTTATGGTGTAGTGGGCTCTTTGGGACCTTAACACACGAAGTACAGGCGCCTTGCCTTGTGGAAGAGGCCCACGGAACCAGGAGCTGCGATGTGACACAGGACAGACCTTCTTCGGGATCCGCGAGGGCCGCAAAAACCCAAAACCCTGCTCAGACCGCGCGTCTTATTTGGCCGGGGTTTCCGGCAACTGCAAAAACCTCGTAAATACCGAAAGATTCGTGGTTCAGGGCAAGAGCAATTAGGGGTTATGTTGGGATGCTGTTTTTGTAAAAGTTGCATTTTAGCGTAGGAACGCGTCGGGTGGGGTGGCGCGCGAAAGAACACACTATGAAAGAGAGGTTTAGGGTTTAGGGTTTTGGGGTTTTGGGGCTTAGGGGTTTAGAGTTGCCTAACCCTATGCATGCCCGAGGCTGCACCATGGAACCCAGAGGCCCAAGCCCAATCAACAAGTTTTCAAGGTCTCCTTCATGCTGAACAAACCCCTCCCGAAAGAGCTCGAATGTTGCCTTTTTTCCAGGAGAAAAGTGCGTGCGTGAAAACGACTCACCGGAATGCACAGAGACGGCCGCGCGTGCTGAAAGCAGCAGGGCAAAGGGGGGGCTGCAGGTGTGCGAGCATGGATGCCCTGGCACGGACGTTCTCATCGTGCGGGAAAGCGCAACCGCGCGGAGGGCGCGCTGAAATTTAAGCCCAAAATCCACGATGTCTCGGCGTGCGCAGGTTGAACTAAACCCTTTTAACTTTTAACCCTAAACCCTAAACCAAGGCCCAAAGATGCAAAAGTAGAGGATCGTGGGCTCAGGGTGCGTCGGATCATGTGAGCTGCAAAGCTACGGCCGCCTCAGAACGAAAGCCCACACCGCTAAATGCGAGCTTCAGAGATTACTGTCTTCCAAGAAAGACCCTTGACTCATGAGGTCCCGATAAGGATCCCTCATGTGGGATCTGATGCGTTCCAAGAAATCCCCCCAAAATCCAGCCCTAAACCCTAAACCCTAAACCCTAAACCCTACACCCTAAACCCGTCCGAGGGACATGGCTCCCGCCGACTGCCCCATCAGCAACACTCGGCTGGGATCCTCGGAAGGCAGCAGACGAGTTGACACCGCCGGGTTGCCGATGGCTGTGTCACTGAGCCCGAGGCTCTAGCTCAAAAGCCTGAAGCCGTCAAGCCGGTTTAGGGTTTAGGGTTTAGGGTTTAGGGGTTTAGGGTTTTAGGGTTTTAGGGTTTAGGGTTAGGGTTTAGGGTTTAGGGTTTTAGGGTTTAGGGTTTAGGGTTTAGGTAGCTAGACATCTCAAGGGGCATGCCCAGGATCTGCTTGCTGGGAAAGGGCGGGCGGCTCATCTTCTGTAAGACTTCATTAAGATAGGGGATAGGATTAGGGGGACCCTTGGGGATATAGACCCTCTGAATAAGGTCCTTGTTTAAGAGGGCCAGAAGAGGGTTAAGAAGGGGTTCCCTTTTAAGGGTCCCCCTTATCCTACCTAGGATAAGATCATGAAAGGGGTGCTCAGGACATCTCAGCAGAACCTGTTCGCCTCAGAATCTCACAAGGGGACGCTGGCTGCGGGAACTCTGCGCCCAAACTCGCACCTGGCTTCAAAACTTGGGAGCCTACACTCGCAAGCCCTAGCTCTTGACCCTCACCAATTTTGTGCCCAGGTCGGAATAATTAGAAAAGAGTCTTCCCTGATAATCCCTTCATGTTTATACTACAGCAAACCCCCAAAACCCTATTCTGATTTTTAAGGCCCCCGTATCACCTTTCATCCGTACACGCCCACCCGACTCCCCTCCCCCAGCGAGGACACGAATTCAGCCCACAGCGTCCCCACCAAAAGCTTGGATGTTCTCTTGTACCCAACCTGGGAGTCCGCAGCGGGTCTAGGGCGTACTTGGAGGTGCATGGGTAGTTATAAGCAGGGTTAAAAGTACCCTAAGGAGGAGTATCAGTATAGCTCACATACATATAGCCTAAACCCTAAACCCTAAACCCTAACCTTTAAACCCTAAACCCTAAACCCTAAACCCTGAACCTTAAACCCTAAACCCCAAACCCTAAACCCTAAACCCTGCCCATGAACCTCTAAGTAGGGAGGAAGACTTCTGCAGCTTTCGGCCCCGGATGGCTGCAACAGACTCATGGAATGACCTTCTTGGGGATCCGGATGCAAGTCGGGCTTATGATTAGGGTTTAGGGTTTAGGGCTGAGGGTTTAGGGTTGGGGGACATGAGCTTTCACTGGCCTGGTGATCGGTCGCTTTGAGGCTTCTGCGTTTAGGGCTGTTTCATCGCAAATCTCAGACTCTGCCCTCCCAACCCGAAATTGTGAACGGAAAGCCGTATCCAAAAACAAAGCCTGCAGCACAGAACCCCCACACCCTCCGGCCTCTATATCCTTAGCCCTTCACCTTACACCCCTCTAAACCTCGTAGACCTGCAGCCCGAAAGCCCCCTCTGCCCCATAGGCCCTTGAACTCAAACAGGCTTTAAACCATAAAGCCCACACCCCCAAACACTTTTTTTACGGCTAGGACTGCTGCACTCCCTGCCTGGAACCCTAAACCCTAAACCCAAACGTGCTTGAAACCCTAAAACACACAAACCCCTAAACCCTAAACCCTAAACTCCCCCCTACCCCTGGCACGGCCGGGTGGCGGAGTAGGAGCTGCTGATCCCTGAACCCGAGGTTCGCCAGCGTCCCCGCCCAGGAGAAGAAGCCGAAGATTCCCAGACCTTGGGCTTAGGGTTTAGGGTTTAGGGTTTAGGGTTTAGGGTTTAGGGTTTAGGGTTTAGGGTTTAGGGTTTAGGGTTTAGGGTTTAGGGTTTAGGGTTTAGGGTTTAGGGTTTAGGGTTTAGGGTTCCTTCTTAGGGTAGTTACATGCTTCCTTAGTATGGGCCCTTTTAAAAGGGGATCCCTTATATTAGGGTTTAGGGTTTTTAGGGTAGTTACATGGTTTTCCTAGGATGGGCCCTTAAAAAGGGCACCCCACATAACCCCAAATATACCTTATACAAATTAAGGGTCAATACATAAGAACCCTTTGAAGCAGGTTCGGGACCATATTAAGGGCCCATAAAAATACCCAAGATAAACCGCCTAAACCCTAAACCCGAAACCCTAAACCCCAAA